CAAGCTGGCATGCGAATGACACTTCTTTTATTTTCCTCACCATTTTGGGTTCGATTGATGATAGGAACGGGGTATTCGTATGCAGCGGTAGGCGTGTCTGTCAGCGACATGAAAGCAGTGCCATCGCGAAGTTGACAGTGCGCGTTGAATTCGGGAAACACCACAGTCTTGAATGGCGCACCGATCTCGTTCCGAGATTCGTCAAAATAGCGACAGTAGACCACGTCCCTAAAGTTAAATATAGACTTCCGGCTCGAAGAAAGTGTTTTCCAAGTTCAAGAAAATGAATTGATTCATTAGTTTACAAGGACAGTTTTGGCAATTGCAGTTCGTACTCGTGAGTCACAGGTGCCACGAATGCCGCGACTGATAGAATCGAAGCGCCGGCAGCGCACAAAGCAAAGCTTTGACGTCCTTGCCGCGGACTTTTGAAGCGGCTCCTGCGCTTGAGGACCCCTCTTTCTCACACTAGAAGGGACCACTTCTTGGCACCTAATCCTTACCCATGACTTTGAAAAAAAAGATCGCGCTGGGTTCCAGGTGGAGACTAGTTCCACACGTTACCATCCGAAATCACCGGCTTGATGCTAATTAAAATTGGACGGTAATGATAACATTTACTCGTCAACCACGCTGCCGTTGTGACCCCTTCCACGTCCGAAACGTAGATGGTGGAGAGTTCCGAACTGAAGAAGATTTGGAATCACTTGAGAGAAAACGTTGACCACAACTCGAGCAAAATCGTTTTATCGATTTCCGAACAAAGAAAAACATAGAAAAATCGACTCCTCGCAGAGCCTATCAGACATAAGGTAGACCAATTCACGATCTATCCAGATTGAAAAATTCCCACAGAAACTGCGCACTTCTGCAACCATTTGAGGACAGCAGTTCTGACCTTTCTTGCCTTTTTTTGCGTATTCCATTCTAATTTATGCTTCTCAGGATCCGGGATACCGTGGCTAAAGAGCAGTCAAATCAATAAATTAGGAAGCCAGCGGACGTTCCCACATTTTCGAACCCTTACGTACCAAACCCAGCGGAGATTGATCTAGTAGGCTGGAAAAGCGAGAACGGTGCCTTTTTTCTGTTTTACCCCGCCTTTGCTAGCTGGCCACAAGAAGTCGGCTTATATTGGAGAACTTCTAAGAACTTCTCCAACAAACACTTCGAAATGATGGTATAAGAAGTAAGGATCGTTATCCTCGGGAAGTGATGGAGTGTGAGACAAGAACTCACCCGAATTTGCCTCTAGAAGTAATCATAACATTTATTTGTTCCGGATATTCGTAAGCAGCAACAAGTGAAATATTCATTTTTGGGCCGCTCTAAAAACTGCAATGCTGACATTGAAATTCAGGTAATAGTGAAAAATATGGCCATGCTGCTTGCTCAAAACGGTTAATTTACCTTCTTGCCAATACCGCTTTTCAATAACTTATTGTACCATTCCTGTCTGGGAATACTTCGAGATTTTTCTGCTACGGAGTTTGGTACCAGCTTCTGCGCCATGGGAAGGGGAGGTGTAGAGGACGAATAATCTTCTGGAAAGGCTTCTTATGATCAATTCTTATAGTCTAGATTTTAGGCACACACAAGTCGTACAAATGGCCCTACTCGATTCGAGATTGTGAACGCTTCAGCCTATCAATGTGGAACGAGCGCCGTTATGTGCGCTTGATCACCAGACGAAGTACAGCGTTGGCGAAGCTCAGGATGCGGAACACGCTAAGGTTTTCTTCTCAGTAATTAAGCGCAATCTGGTCTGCCACGCGTCCTTCAAGCGGATCTACATATAAGTCAATACTTGTACTCTACAGAGGAGGATTCCATGGTAGGGCTGGGATCAAAGAAGCGGAAATATAACAGGGCATGTTAAAGGCAAGGCTTTACTTATTGCGGAAAGTTAGCTTATATGGAGAATATGGGAAAGCGTGCGGGTCATTGGAGCAGGTGAAGAAGAACTATGAAACGGCCCGAAAGCCGATCGCAGGAAATGGGACAGCCCTTCCTTGACCTGGTTGATTTACACATTCGCGACCTCTCATTCGCTGGTTGCCCTTTTCATCACCTCGCTTTTCTCTGCGATCATCTAATTAGATAGCAAAGTCGGGTTGGGCGTGCCTCGCCAACCGCGCCAAGAGTGAGCCATGCTTAGATCGCCGAGGTCAAATCATTCGCTGCCGAATTGCTCGCGTCGGTCAGCACCCTCAGAAGGTCCGCCTGTTTCCCAACTATGCAATTTTCCCTTCTTTTATCTTCGTTCTTATAGTGAATTTCAGTTGAGGCGGGAAATGCACGGCTTCCTGAGGGTCCCCCTGCATCCCCACCGATTGGCTAAGCCCTTGCTGTCCACTCTAGCCGTTGTGGCACAGAAAGCGTTAGCGTTGATGAGGGCAGCGTCGGTGAAATTTGCGGAACGCGCGAATTAAGAGGGGTTCCCTCAGGGGCTACCCTTTCATGTAAATTCTGCCTTTTAAGGCAAAGCCTGAGAAGGAGCTGACGTGCCATTGCGCTTGCGAGCGACAGTGGAGATGTGAAGAATTACGCCAGCTGTGCGAAAAAAAGGGTAAGAACATTTTAAGGCGACGAAAATTAAACCCTACTTACCCTAGTAGGCAAGACAAAGCAGCAAAATAGAGGTGATTTATAGCGCCCCAATGGTGTTGGGGGGGTCCAGTCATGCATCTAAGGGTTTCGCATCTCAGCTCTGTTAAATCAGCTCGGATAATTCTGCACTGCTTTTTGCTTGCGCTGCACCTCCGTCAGGGTGTAAGCTGAACTTCTACCAGAACTTCCCGGATATTTCCTTTAAAACATGTTTTCACCAATTTAATCGGGTAGGATGGAGGTGATGGATGGCTTGAGGGATTCCATTTAGGGTCAGAGTAATTGTGCACGTTTTACATAAGAGACCCCATTTGCTATTGCAGAAGGGCAAATGTGAGTAATTTGAAGAAATTCCGTGCCCCATGCAAGCAAAATGCGGTGCTTTTGCTGTAAAAGGGTGCGCTCACTGGGGACTGGCAACTCTAGCAGTCCCCAGTGAGCGCACCCGCGTCAAAGTCGACGTGGAGAGCAAGGGTCCGGTCTTACAGTGTAATTGTCTTCATCACCTTTTGCCACCACTGCCTTTCATTTCCATCGGCGACCAACTTTTCGTTTATCGAGAAGAGTCAAAAAATTTGAACCGTAGTAAATTTCTGGAGTTGTCATCAGCGAAATACTCTACTTTCGGATGCTTTTCGCTTTCCTACTGCTTCTTTCCAGCATGCGTGAAATTGAGAACCTCAAAGCCTTTGAACACTTATAAGTCCTCTCTTTGAATGATCCAGTAATTGCATTGGAACACTATTCTATTTTGTTTTCATTTCTGGATGGTTCATCCACGTCTCCCCCTAGTCCAAAATTTCACCGATCACCACTCAATCTGAATAGCGGTACGGTGTAGTAGCGTTATGCGCCACCATAGAAGGTTGCAATCATTTCAAAGGAAATACTAGTCTGTAACAGGGTGAAAATCGTGTCGAGGACGTGGTCGCAGAAGTACGACCCCCCCCTGAATCGAGGTCTTGGCACGACCCCCTTAAAACAGAGCATACGCAATTAATTCAATTAATTAATCAAAAAAATCCTGCAAAATAATGTTATAAACGCCTCTCTTGTCATCTATGCACTTTCTTTCATCGCTGCACACTTTTGTGTATTTACTGAAATATCGACTCGAGGAAAGAGGCATTAACTTTGTGTGACCTCAAAGTCAGGTTCGTTCAGAAATGCACAGAAATCCTGAAGGCACGGGGTTGCGATTCAATCTTGATTCTTGCTTGAGTATATCAAAACAGCCGAGTGTATCAATCAACGGCCGATTCAACGGCAGCTGCGGCGCGATTGTCACTGGGTCAGATTTGCTGAAATCCCGAAAAAACCGTCGAAATCTACACCCTCGATGAAAAGGTTCCATTCCTCCAACCTTTTGAACAGCACGCGGTAGGGTTAGATAGAGCTAGATTTGCTACTATCAGGCAGTATTGGAATTGCTATGAAAGCCTTCCATTCGAAGAGATATAGTCTCTCAAATTTGTCGAGGGAGCGTCGAGGATGCTGAAATTTTCATGCGAGTTTTTGCCACTTAAAAGGCAATATCTCTCTAATTCGCAAGATCTCAAAAAACAAGACAGTTTTGGAAAGCGGTTGCTGATGATCTGTTTAGTTTTCTTCTACATTTCTTAGTTGAGGAGATATTGCGTCGAGGATCTATCAAGGATGATTCTCGGCCGCTCAAAAAGCCGCTCCCTTCTTCACCATTGCAAGTGTAATTCGTTGGCAACGCTCGAAATGTGTCTAGAATACATTCTTCCAACATAAGCAATAAGAAAAGGGGCAATCGTCATCATCCGATTTTGTCTGGTATAGGCCATGCATCCGACCTCACTCGAAGTTGCAGAATCGATTGGAAGGTGTTATATGATCATGACCAGTTGACAGAAGCTGCATTGTAGTAAACACATTTCGTAACTCCTACAACCTGAAGAACAACTTCATTTGCCCAGGGCTTTCCTTCACGGTTGTCGTTTTTGCGACAGGGTCCCTAACAACAGTGTCATTCTCAGCGAGGTATTAAGGGAGAAGGAGGCGATAGGCAGAGGAGGTGCCTTTGCAGCGCGTGTACACATGTGGCAGATGCACTTTCATTCTTTGTACTGCTTTCAAATACGTCCCTTCTCATAAAGGTAGAGGAATGGAGCGACTGAACCTGCAAAGAATATTTTATATCATGTTTTTTCACATATTTTCGTTCTGCTGCGCTACACCCTCTTACTCCTATCTGCACCACGATACCACTGATGTTACTGACCCCCACGAGTACGACCCCCATGACCCAGCCCGACAAGGTACGACCCCCCTGTCGAGGATTTCCTCGACCGATATTCACCCTGGTCTGGAAGATAGCATCAACACCAGCATGGGGTGACCTCGTCAGTATAGAAGATCTCTACGATTTTGAATCTTGATTGTGAACCTAATGAACAACAAAATACCTTTGAAGGACAACCCACCTGTTTCACAATCACATTCTTGGCTAAGTCGCTGTACAGACATCTGAGGAGCTATGTTGATGTAGCCAATGTCGAATATATTAAGCAGCAATAAAGATATTAAAAGAAGTAGTACTATAAAATGACGGAAGAAGATTCGGGCATTTTCCTGCACATATTTAGATTTAGCCTTGTGAATCAAACGGAGCGTAATATTCATATGTTCATGGCATATTTTAGCAACTAGCAACCGTCACTTATTTGCCCAGAACTTGTAAATGTATCAAAGGTGGTGCTGGTCTATTAAGTTGATAAATTAATATTATATTGTCAAAGTCGGTCATCTGAAGTTTGAGGGATTAATTTGAACGCCAGAGAAGGCTGCTCAGTGAACGAGTGAGAATTCCTCACTGAGAGTCGATACTAGATGCTGAAGAAAAAAAAATTGATAAAGCTCACACTAACACATGCCCCTACTCCTTAACACACTCACGCCCACTGTTCATTGCCTCGATAGGTGTAAGGATATGAATTCAACAGTGGAAAAATCTTTTAACAAGTGCTGAGACTCTTCATAAACAGGGTGGCTGCGCGGTAGCAGGAGGGGGGGGCTAAACGATGAGAACCTCCCAACAAATCTACAGGAAGCCGAAATATCCATGTTTTGATTGAGATTTTCTATTTTGTTAGCTATGCAACGAAGGAAAGCGGGGGGGCGGGTCGTCAAGAGGATGAGAATGTGAAGGGTCGAGTGTCTGGAATGCTGTTAGCATCTGCTTTCATTTCTCACATTAATGAAAGGTGGAATCACACATTGTGTACACAGATGCTTTGGGAAAGATCATTAAGCAAATGCCTGAAATTTCGCCAAAATAATTCGGGAACACTCACAAATGGTTAAATCTGCATAACATTTATTATCCGTTATACTATTTATATTTATATATCTTATATAATATTTATATAATTATAATATATAATATATTTATTATATTTAATTATAATATTATATAATATATTATAATATTTATATATCGAGTATCCCGCATACTCCCTGGCCTCCTCCCCTCTCCTTATACTGTCGTGCAGCAGTGGTCCAGTGAATTTATGAAGGTTGGCAAACCTTACCAAGATGGTATCCGGAGCAGTGCTAGCTTCAGCGACTTGCAGTGTTGGCCGGCCACTGCCCTTCCTTGTCATGCTACCACCGCCACTGCTCCTCATCCCCTTAAAGCGAGGGATTACGATAAGTTTGGACTGAGTTCATAGTGGAAGTGGTGCTGAATAATACCCCAGTGGCGAAAAAAGCAAAGAAATCCGTCAAGAAGGCGCAAAATGGGACCCCTTTCTTTGCCCGTTGACCTCCGATAATGGACGAGCTAGCAACCAATTAGGAGGTCGTTTGCACATGTTATGCTGATAGCCTCTATCATTTCAGCAAGCATCATGCTTTGATTGATCACGCATCCCATG